GTTTTACAACGTTTCATGGTCTTTTTGGAAAGTCAAATTTCACCCCAAGGATACAACTTTTCTGGTCCAACACCCTCCCATTCATCCTTACAAACTGCACCACATTACCGTCATGGTGCCTAAGACCATCATCATTTGCATTTTCTCAGGTGCAAATGTTACTTGCCATCTATTTCCCCAAGCTGATATAGCTCTTAGCTGGTGATTGATGTAGCTTAGAGCAGCGGGCATTTCTTCTCTTGGATAAGTGAATGTCAGTGTACAGTTGTCTGCATATGCAGGGGAAATTCTGGGTGAGATGAAGAAGGTCATTGAAGTAGACATTCCATAACAATGGTCCCAGCACGCTTCCTTGTGGAACACTTGCCCAATAGGATGTCTTGTCCGATTCCTTTTCCATTGAGAACAAACACTTAGAGATCTACCATGAAAGAATCACTGAGGAGACATAGCGTAGAGCCTGCAATTCCCAGTGCTTGAAGTTTTTGCTAAGAGGCCCTGGTGCCCACCCGGTCGAAAGCACCAGCAATCCCCAAAGAGCTGCCAAACAGCTGATTTTTGGGATTCATCCAGTGACTGGTGCCACTTAATGGAGAGGTTTAACAACAGATCAGCAGCAGAGTAACCTTTCCTGAAGCCATATTGACGTCACAAAGTAGTGAGGGTAGTCAAAAAACTCTGTCTTTTGTCTTGAATTATTGTTTAAGGATCTTACCAGTGATTGACAGGAGTGACACTGGTCTGTAGTTGCTGATTTCCTGCTCTGCTCTTCTTTTTGTGAACAGGGACTACATTTGCCTCTTTCCACAGAGGGGGCCATTTACACTGTACTAGGCAGTGCTGAAAGATACAGTTAAGATGCTGCAAACTGGTCTGCACATCTTCTCAGCTATCTTGGGCTCAACTTGTCTGGGCCCACAGCCTTTTCTTGGCAAGTGTTTTAAGAAGGAAATGCACCTCCTCCTGCCTTATTTTCCACTGACAGTTTTGACACATTCTTGCAGCTAGCCAAGGAGGGTCCCTTGCTGGGTCAGGAACTTGCATTTGGTAGCTCTTGACTACTAGTAGAGGTGGTCCCATCCTGTCAATTTAAAAGGTGAAATGAGTTCATCAGGCAGATAACCTTGTCTGTCCTTTACCAGGGACCACCCAGGGTTTTTTGGGGCCTACCCTACCTGTTGCTAGCTTTCTTTTGTGTCCACCTCCCATTTAAACAATGGCCCACTTTTGAATGTCACCATATGCCTACAGGGTTGCCTCTGCAAGTTCTTGTTATAGGGGGTAGGATGTCTCTTATACCTTCACCATGCTTTGTACTTTTGCAGTCGCAGCCTCTCTAAAAAACAAAAACCAAACCAAGGCTGATTTTGTAGGCTTCGCCACATATTGCCGGTGAGGAATATGTTCTGTTGCAGATTAAGGTGTGTCCAGTAAAGGCTTTCACTTGGTTGGGCAACATCCCCTTGGAGAAGAGCATTCCAGTCGGTGGTGGCGAGCTCAGAGCAAAGGGCTGGCCAATTACCTCTTTCCCATAGCCAGGGTTTCGTGTGTGGACTCCTCACCTCGTTCTGTTGGGATCTTAAGTGTCTTAAAAACAAACCTTGTGGGTGGGCAGATGATCCAATGTAGCCGAGGGTTGACAAGTGGCTATACCTTCTGCCAGATCACTCACTACGGGTCAAGGGAGGAGCCAAGATGTGAGTAGGGAAATCAACAAAGTTTCTCATGTCAAATACTGCAAGAAGGCCATCAAAGTCCCTCTGTATAAGGTTTTGGTTGAGGTCACCAACAGTTTGGATATGTTGACAGTTGTTAAGAATGCTCCCTTTTGAATCCATGTTGACTCATAAATTAAATTGTTTGATAAAAGAAAGAGATTAGGAAAACAGTCATAACTGGAAGGTTAGTGATGCAGACCACCAAGTTGCATTGTTAGTATAGCCAAATAAGAAAACATCACCAGTAAGGGGATACATGTGGTATACCAGTAACCATTTTGAGTGTTCTTCTCTCCTCGCAGCCTGGCTGAGGCTAAGGTTCTGTTTTACTTGCCTTCGTTAACAGTACTTCTGTGAATGACTAATGCCTGGAGTTTCTCTTTTGAAATTGTTTCGTCTAAGATTCTAAGTTTTACTAAAATATCTTTGGCACTTAATTACACTGTGTCTTATTGGCTTATAAATTCATACATTCCTTCTCAATCCATTATTATACAAATAGTTCTTACTGGATTCACTCATTTTTTTCAGACCTAATCATATCCAGATGCATACGATTAGGTCTGCACATTGTCCCAATGATATTTTTTATAGATTTATTTCAAACATTTTGTTTACAGTTTGTTTCATGTATGTATGTATACAGTGCTCACATAAATTATTTGTATATTTACTTACCCATTACCATTAAACTTCTGCAGATTCCTCCTTGAAGATTTTGCCAAGTTTGATGTAAACACAGATTATGCAGTTATTCATGAAGGTTGTGACAGCCCAGCATCCTGCATTATTCTCAGTGCTGCAACTGGCTCACGCACCATTGTGCATTCCAATAAGAATCTTCCTGAGCTTTCTGTGGAAGATTTTAACAAGATTGACTTATCAGCATTCCAATGGGTTCATTTTGAGGTAAAGTTATTAAGGTTCTTGGAGGTTATTTTTTACATGTGTTTATAATAATGCAATACAGTGGAACCTCGGTATGCGACCTTAATTCATTCTAGAAGGCGGTTCAGGTGCCGTTCCATTTGAGTATCGAACAAGTTCTTCCCAACCAATTTTCTGTTTAGTTGGCTGGTATCACTAATCTTCTTAGGCCCTATGGTGACTTATACAAATAATACAAAAAACACCAAAAAATGCGAAGAAACACGAAATAGTTTACACCGAAGTTCTGGTAGGTCGTATTTGTTTGGTTGAGTGCTGAGCTTTGTTCAAGTGGGAGCGGGTCATATACCAAGGTTTCACTGTAATTATATTTTTACTTTATAAAGAAACTCGTAATTTTACATTTTGAGGATTGGATATGTCTCTAATCATATAATAATTTAATTCCCCCCTCTCCTCCAATCTCTCAAAGGGCTCTTGATTCAAAAAAATTGGACTTGTCCTTCCCTTCCTTGAGTCAAACCTACTAATCGTCTCCCATTCCCAGGCTCTGTATTGCCCCATAGGTTTTAATGCTATCCCTTAAGTAATCCCTTAAGGTAGTTAGCGTAAGATATAAGTAACGACTGAGTGAATGGTGGGCTAGTGAGAGCACAAGTAATGAGGTTGAAGGGATATGGGTAGGTTTGAAAATGCGGTGTTAGTATGCAGGAGAAGTTTGTGAATATAGGGTGGGTGCAGATGGAAGAGGAGCAATTGATGGAATAATGAAGTACAGCGAGTGGTAAGGGAGAAAAAGTTACCATTTGAAAGGGTTTTACAAGTCTGTCAGAAAAAGTGTGATCAGTGTCTCCTAACTATTGGATAGGACAAGAGGAGCAGAAATGGAGTAGACTCCAGAAGCATCAGTAGTAAGTTTATTCAGGCATACACAAATACAGTTACAGTGGAACCTCGGTATGCAACCTTAATTCATTCCAGAAGGCTGTTCAGGTGCCGCTCCGTTTGAGTATCGAAAAAGTTCTTCCCAGCCAATTTTCTGTTTGGTTGGCTGTTATTGCTAATCTTCGTAGGCCCCATGGTGACTTATTTATACAAATAATACAAAAAAAATCAAAAAATGTGAAGAAACACGAAATAGTGTACAGCAAAGTTCTGACAGGTCGTATTTGTTTGGTCAAGTGCAGAGCTTTGTTCAAGTAGGGAGCTGGTCATATACTGAAGTTCCACTGTATATAGATTATCATACATAGCAGCATATGTGTAGAGAACCTAGGAATAACCCAAAAAAGTCAGTGACATATTTCCATTGGGTTCTTGTGATTTCCATTGGGGTCCTTTGATTTCCATTGGGGTCCTTGTAGGAGAGGTACTACGTAGATTACTACAGAGAGTATTATTTTATCAAAAAGTAAGTTTCAGGTCTAAGCAACTGAGTGTATTGTTAAAATTAGGGAGACTGGAATTATAAGGAAGGCAAAGAACAGATTTCTCTCAAGTAGAGAGTTTGGTGAACCTGGCCACTCTCGTCCTAAAAGATTTAAAAAGAACAAAAAAAGTGTTAGCCCTTGCTTACACTAATTCTCTTTTCTTCATGTTAGAGATCACGGTCATCCTTTTAAAACCCTATCAATAATGTATAAAAAATGTCAGTGCATTCCTGAATGCCCATTAGCTGGCCTTGGACGCATATTGGACAATTAACATCATTTGTGTACTCTGGAATATCAGCAAAAATTGAACATTTCTGCTACTTTGAGCTCTATTTCAAAGCTACTTTCACCCCTGAAACCAATCAAAATCATCTCTATTTCTGTAATATATCTTCTAATCTGTCAAGTGAGACCAAGAAACCGAGAATAAAACCATATGAAAATACACCACAAAGTCACTTTTTTAAAAACCAAAAATACGGTCACAGTTATTTTTCTCATTATGCACTGTGTGCTGCAAGATTTTTTTTGTATGGTACACACTTACTGCATAGACCCATTCCCTCATATCTAAGCCCAAATTACCGCCCATAGCTATCTGAGTGAGCTGACTCATGGTGGTGTACTACGGGACCAAGACTGGCTTCAAGCTGTGATACATGGGACTGACCCTGAAAGGGTTGACTGGTCCTCTACTAGAAACTGTCTACCCTCTTTGCCTTCACAGATGCCATTTTGTTCAAGCATCCCTTAACAAAATTTAACTAATGTGAATCAGTCCTGCTTTGTCTCTGTAAATGCCTTCCTTTTTCATTACATTATCAAATGCTTCCAAACTTCAGAACACTGATGACTTGACCTGATCTTTATCTCCTCTTCCCTTTTCCTATATTTTCTTGTCTTTTGTCTATGGGGTTATAAATATTTTTTTCTTATGAAAGATAGAGAATCTTTTCCCGATCATATGACACCAAAGATGAAATTTGATGAAAACTTAATGGAATTATGCTCTCGCGAAGTTAGAGGTCTCGACGATGTTTACTCATCGGCAATTTTGCCCACTTTGAGCCCTATTTTCGGCCAATTCCAGTGTACTAGTCGACAAAAATCATAGCTATTTCGCTAGAATCTAACTTCCATTTTTGTATCGAATGAGTACAATAAACCACCCATTTACCAATTTCAACTATCCAATACAGTGGTCAGAATTTAGCAATTTTGCAATTTCACACAAATTTCAAAAGATGCCAATTTCCAAATAGGATCAAGAATAAACAAGAAATACATTCGTAAAGACATAAGAATGTAGGAACACTGCAGAAGGCCTACTGGCCCATACGAGGCAGGTCCTTATCAAAACGACATCTACCTAAAGCTACTCAAGATAATAACTCCCGTACCCTTTGACACCAATCAAACCCAGCCCCTCCCACTCATATATTTGTCCAATCTCTTCTTAAAGCTACCCAAGGTCCTAGCCTCTATCACCCCACGGGAAGACTGTCCACGCATCTACAACTCTGTTAGAAAACCAGTACTTACCTATGTCCTTTCTAAATCTAAATTATCCAACTTAAATCCATTATTCCTGGTTCTTACCTGTTCGACACCCTCAGTACTTTATTAATGTCTGGCACTAAATAACATTTCCTCTGTTCATTAGTCATGTTCCCATGCCCCTCTTACATTCTTTTACTTTCCACTTTGAATTTTTTTCTCACAAAAAATAGAAGATTTACTGTTATGCAGACTAGTGCATTAGTGTAGAAATGTAAAATAATATCAGCGCACTTGTGAAAGAATATTAGACTCACCATTGACGTGTATTGGACGCTTAGCATGATTTGTTTACTTTTTAACTTTGGTAAAAATCGAAAATTTCTGCTAATTTGAGCTCAGTTTCAAGTACTTTTCATTGTAAAACCAGTCAAAAATCGTCTCAATTTCTGTAATATGTCTTCCATTCTATAAAATGAGGCCAGGAAAACTAGATACAACATTAAATACCATATGAAATACAGTGCAAAGCCGCTGTTTTAATCCAAAAACACGGTCAAAGTTTTTTTTTCTCATTATGCACTGTGTCTGCAAGATTTTTTTTATACTGCGCACACTGACCACATAGACCCATTCTGTCATATGTAGGCCTTCCAGCTTTCTCTCACTAGATTTGAGGGCGCTAGACTTTAGGCGTACTAGTACGTCAAAAACCCTGGTGCGTAAACATACTAGTATGTCCGAACCCTGAAAGGGTTATATTCTGCTACTGCATACTACTATAAACTACTATCTCTTTGCTAAGTCTCCATCCTCTTTTCCTTTTTTCACCACCATTACTACCTTATTGCCACCTCTAACCACTGTGTACTACTTTTTCTACTACACTTCCTCCACTACAACGACTTTAATACAAATTCCTTTCTCTCAATACGCTACTTCAGTTCGTTCCCTGCTTCCCTTCTCATGTATATTCTGGCTCCCTTCCCTTCATGCTTGTGTGTGACTAGTTAATGGTCCAAGTCAATCAAAACGTTGTCATAAGTTTGTCTCCTGTGTGTGGCTTATTTTATGTAAAGCCATTGTTAAGTGCACTTTACTTAATATGTTAATATTCACATAAAATGCTCTAAATCCAGGCAAAATTAGAGTGTGTGCATGAGTGAGTACAAACAATTAACTGGCATGAGTGGCCTATCGTTCAGGAACAATGAAAACAGATATGTCCTGGACATGGCAGCTCTGGCTCTGTTGGAGCCATTTGGGCTTGATCTGATTCTTCAGAAAGCAACTAGACATTATCACTAGAGACAGAAAATGGAATTGTGGACTTTTGTCCATTTTGTCTTATACTTCTGTTTGTCTGGCCAATGTTTTTTGCACAAACTTGCGAAATCCATTAATAAGAGGTCCGTTGACAAGATTTTTACTGTACTTAGGTAAGAGAAAAGTTTTGTTTGTTGCATTTGTAGATTTGAAGGAGCTTTTAACGGGCTGCAAATGTATGAAATGGTGGTACGTTGTTGCAAACTGCAAGGAGTTATTTTACTAAAAGAGTCCTCTCATTGAGGTTCCTTGATGCTGGTAAGGGGATTCTTGATTCAAGGAATTGGACCTGAATTCCCTTTTTTCTTGGAATGAACCTAAGTGCCTCTCATTCCCTCCAGATACTGATGACCTCTATGGGTTCTGCACTCACTTTATAAATGCAAATATTAGAAGAGTGAGCTTTTCGGAAAAGCAAGTTTTAGTGAACTATGATTAACAGGTGTTTAATATATGAGAATAAGACGTATGCACAGTCAAAACTTTTTTGATGTAGACATATCACCACCACTGGTTGGCTTTATCAATTTATTGACAGGATGATAAAGCCACCATGGCAAAGCATCTTCAGTAAATGTCTTGATGTGCATGTGTGTGTCTTATTCCCACAATCTATTGGTATTAACAGACTTTTACTGCACTTTTTACAAGTTGTTTAGCCTTTGACTGTTTTCGGTCATATATAACGTCTTGCATGCCAATGTTTGACGTATTTATACGCGTAAATTCTAGCGGCTTCAAATCAAGCGGGAGAAAGCTGGTGGCCCACATGTTAGAGAATGGGTCTGTATGGTCAGTGTGCATGACATAAAAAAATCCTGGAGCACGCAGTGCATAATGAGGAAAAAAAACTGATCGTTTTTTTTTGGATTAAAACGCCGAATTTGAGGTGTATTTTCGTATAGTATTTATCGTTGTATTCTCATTTCATAGTCTCAGTGAAAATGAAACATATTACAGAAATAGAGATGATTTGATTACTTTCATGATGAAAACGACCTTGAATTGAGCTCAAAGTAGCAGAAGTGCTCGATTTTTACCATGTTCAGGAGTAAGCAAATACACACACGTCCAATACACTCAACTGGGAGTCTAATATTCTCTCACTAGTGCACTGATATTATTTATAACCATTTTTACAATAATGCATTAGTCTGCATAACATAAATTTTGTATTTTTTTTGTATGAATAAAAAATCAAAATAGAAAGCAGTAGTAATATAGGAGGGGCCTAGAGACGTGACTAATGAACAGAGGATATGTTATTTTAGTGCCAAGAATGTCTACATTGTTTATTCTGGGCCCTATTTTGAAATTGGCATCTTTTTTTAATTTGCGTGAAATTGCCAAATTGCCAATTTCTGACCACTTTATGGGTAGTTCAGATCAGTAAAATGGCAGTTTCTTGTACTCAACTGACAGAGAAAATGGAGTTCTAAAGAAATAGCTATGAGTTTGGTCAACTGGAATGATGGGATTGGCCAAAAACAGGCTCAAAGTTGGCGAAATCGCCGATGCATATATGTCGCCGAGACCACTAACTTTGCGGAAGCGTAATTCCATACTTTTGGTGTCATTACCATCGGGAAAAGATTCTCTATCATTTCATAAGAATTTTTTTTTTCCAGAAATTTATCGACATAGAATGATAGTTTCAGAAAGGGGCCTGCGACAGTCAAAGGTTAATGTGTTTATTGAGAGGGCTCTTAAGAGAAATGGATGTTAAAGTGATAAGAAAAGGTAGAGCTTTAAAAAATAATAACTGATATGATGTGCCGCGTAGAATCTGTAGTTTGGAAATTAGGAGGGGGTGCGGGGTTACTAAAGGTAATATCCAGAGGGCTGAGGATGGGTTGTTGAGGTGGTTTGGACATTTAGAGGATGGAACAAAATAGAATGACTTGGAGAGCATATAAATCTGTAGTGGAGGGAAGGCGGGCAGGGTCAGCCTAGGAAAGGTTGGAGGGAAGGGTAAAGGAGGTTTTGTGTGTGAGAGGCTTGGACTTCCAGCAATCATGCATGAGCATGTTAGGACCGAGTGGAGGACGAATGGTTTTTATGACTTGACATGCTTTTGGAGTATGAGCAAGGTAACATTTATGAAGGGATTTAGGGAAACTGGCAGGCCAGACTTGAGTCCTGGAGGTGGGAAATACAGTGCCTACACTCTGAAGGAGGGTGTTGATATGTTGCAGTTTAATAACTGTATGTAGGCATGCCTAATGGAGTGAATGATGATGAGATGATGATTCTTTTTTGGGTCACTCTGCCTTGGTGGAAAACAGCCAATTGTTAATAAAAAATAAAAAAAAAATTGTCTTACAGTAAAACTTGACTGTGTTGTTAAATAGAAAACTAGAATGGAAAGCAAGCATCTTAAATTAGTTTTGCATTTGTAAAGAATTGTACTCTGTATAAATTTTCATGCAAGATTACCTTTTCAGGGACGAAATGTTACAAATATTACAAAAATGATTGAACATATAAGAGAGTACAATAAAAGCCACCAGGATGGAAGCTCTATCACTATTTCCGTTGAGATAGAAAATGCAAAACATGAGCTTGAGTCACTCATTCCCTTGCCTGATGTACTCTTTGTTTCCAAGGATTATGCCATGTTTAAAGGATACACCAATAAGGAAGAAACAGTTGAGAAAATCCAGGCTCAAACTATCCCTGGGTAAGTTACAGGTGTGTGAATACAAGAGCTCTGTCAAGACAGTGGAACCTCTGCTTGCGAGTTTAAATCCGTTCCATGACCTTTCTTGCAACTGGATTTGCTCGTTGCAGAGTAAATTTTTCTCATTTAAATTAATTGAAATGCAATTAATCCATTCCAGTGGAATCTTTACTTCAATAATTTCTCTAATATCACCTTTACAGCTATTTTATCTATCTCAATTGATCTAATATACATAATAAACAATATAAATAACATAAGAAACCTGATATATACTCTGAAATGAATAAAATATGTAATTCATGTAGTGGTGTGGGCGGTGTCGGCGGTGGACAACAGTTTGTCTGGAGACCGGACAAAATACTTCTTGAGTAATTTCGCTAATATCATCTATACGGCTTATTTATCTATCACAGTTTATCTAATATGACATAACAAACATATATAAATAACATAGAAACCTGATATATCCTCTAGAATGAATAAAATATGTCATTATATATGTGGCGGCAGCAGCCGCCAACAAGTGTTTGGAGACAACAAAATACTCCTTGAATATTTTGCTATCATCAACTCTACGGCTTATTTATCTATCACAGTTCATCTGATATGACATAACAAACATAATAAGTAACATAGAAACCTGATATATAACTCTAGAATGAATAAAATATGTCATTATATATGTGGCGGCGGCCAACGAGAGTTTGTCTGGAGACAGGACAAAATACTCCTTGAATATTTCGCTATCATCAACTCTACGGCTTATTTATCTATCATAGTTCATCTAATATGACATAACAAACAATATAAATAACAAGAAACTTGATATATACAGTGGAACCTCAAAAATCGAACTTAATCCGTTCCAGGAGCTGGTTCTAAATTCGAAAAGTCTGAAATTCGAAGCAATATTTCCCATAAGAAATAATGGAAATACAATTAATCCGTTCCAGAAACCCAAAAATATTCACACAAAAAATACATTTTATAGAGATTAATTACAGTTTTACATACAACAAATACTATAGTATTATGTATAGTAATACATATAAAATAAAATTTTTACTTACCTTTATTGAAGATTGGTGATGGCATCTGGAAGATAGGGAGGAGGAGAGAGGGAGTTGGGGTTAGAGTTTGGAAGGAGAATCCCCCTCCATGAGGACTTCAGGTAAAGCCCTCTCTGGGGTTACTTCCCTTCTCTGTCTTTTAATGCCACTAGGACCAGCTTGAGAGTCAGTGGACCCTGTCTCACAAAATAACTGTCTACAGTCCCTCTGTTTTCTGGCGCCTCTTTAACATTTCCCTAAAATGGGACATGGTTCTGTCACTGAACTTGTTGCAAAGATGGCTTGTTTCAGCTTGCTCAGGGTGGTACTTCTCCACAAACATTTGGAACATCATTCCACTTGGCACAAATCTCCTTAATATTTGAAGAAGGCACCTCATCCACTCCCTCTTCCTCCTCCTCTGAAGCAAGTTCCTCAGCTGTGGTCTGATACTGCTCCAGATGAAGCTCTTGCAGCTCTTCAGTGGTTAGCTCTTCCCTGTGGTCCTCCACCAACTCTTCCACATCCTCACCACTCACCTCCAACCCCAGGGTGTTCCCCAATGCCACAATAGAGTCCACAACAGCAGAGGGTGAGCTGGGTCAGGGTCAGGGTCAGCCTCAAACCCTTCAAAATCCCTCTTTTGGACACAATCTGGCCATAATTGTCTCCAAGCAGTTCAAAGTTCTGGAAGTCACTCCCTCCCAAGCCTTACCTATAAGGCTTATGGAACTGTAGATGTTGAAGTGATTCCTCCAGAACTCTCTTAGGGTCAACTTAGTGTCTGTGGTCACTTCAAAGCACTTTTCAAACACTGCTTTTGTGTAGAACTTTTTGAAGTTAGAAATGACCTGCTGGTCCATGGCTGGAGGAGAGGAGTGGTGTTAGGACGCAAGAACTTCACTTTTATAAAATTGAAGTCCTTAGACAAGAGGTCTAATAAGTTTAGAGGATGAGCAGGAGCATTATCCATTAACAGGAGGCACTTGAGTGACAATTTCGTTTCCTGGAGGTATTTTTTCACACTGGGGCCAAACACTTCATGGACCCACTCTTTGAAAATTTGTCTTGTGACCCATGCCTTATGATTAGCTTTCCACAAGACACATAACCTTATGATTAGCTTTCCACAAGACACATAACTTGTTCTTAAAGACATTGTTTTTCTTAAAACACTCTGGGATTTTCTGAATGATACACAAGTAAAGGCTTCACTTTAAAATCGCCACTAGCATTAGCACAGAACAAAAGAGTAAGCCTGTCTTTCATAGGCTTGGTTCTGGCAGTGCCTTTTCCTCCTGTTGATGAAGAACCTTTTTGGCATTTTCTTCCAGAACAAACCTTTTCATCACAACTAAACACTTGTTTTAGGTTTCAATTCTTTTACTGTCTATGTACCCCTTAAAATCCGTACAAAC